GGTGTGTGTATTGTTTAGTATCTTTTCAATATTTTATATTACGTTATTTGGTTCCTGTGCCCGACTTTCAGGGCTATATGGAAGACGTAGTACAAATGGCTTCCGATTAGGTGGAATTGGTCGTATCATGTTATTCATGGATAATGGGAAGTAGTTTAAAATGCTCGTGGCTATGTGATTTCCATGCATGTAATACTGTCATGTGCTTTCACTACCAAAAAGTGGTCCTCAAAAGTTTCTTTCGAAGTTGCTTATCTACCGTGACAATTTGACAAACTTTGTCTTTTCTCGTTCTTCTTTTTTTTTCTAGTCGTAGCAGGAACATCCCTGATTAACGCGGATATCGTCTTTGTAATTGACTGTTCCTCAAGCGTCCCTTATCCTGAATACAGCAGAGAAAAATCATTCGTGCGATCACTTGGACAGTATCTCAATATTCAGCCTGATCAGTCAAGAGCAGCGCTTGTAGTTTACGGCAGTCGTCCTTTGACCGTCATTCGGTTGTACAATTCTCAGACCTTTGCTCGGTTTGACTCCATGTTGACAAAAGCGCCATTTCTCGGTGGTGCGCGGAGGTACGACAAGGCACTCAACTCTACGGGAGACATCTTCACAAATGAGCGAGAAAATGTCCCAAAAATCATGCTGCTGTTTGTGGCGGGAAAACAAGCACAAGTTTCAGGTAACACTTGATAAGCATTTTGTATGAATTAGTCATTGATTTATTCTGTTAATAATTAATTATAACAACTGACCTCCACACACAAGGAATTTTATTAGGGACGGACCATCAGAACAGTTATGGGGTGGGGGGGAGGGGAATTTTTTTTCGTAATCAAATTCCTTGTATGAATTTTTTTTAGGCCATAGCATGAATATTTTTTAGGATTAACGCCCCACCCCTATAAGTTTTCTAATGGTCCGTCCCTTATGGTGCTGGCTGGGCAAACGAGCGTTATGAATATGAATCAGGAATTTGTGATTTGTTACCTGAGCGAGAACCACGCGTGTTCTCGTCGTATCTTGTCTTCCACAAGGAAATGATTTTTTTCTCTATTCCCGACAAAAACCTTCATTCCTTTCACCTTTTTTCGGTAGAATAATAAGTTATCAACCTTTCTCATTTGTGTTCTCCTCTGCTAATGAAAACCATTTAAGGCATCGCTTCACCGTTTTACATGATATCTGGTTTCTTTTTCAAGGCTCCACATCGTTAAAAGATGCCGTTAGGCCACTTCGCCAACAGGGAGTCACAACTTTCATATTTCGTATTGGTTCAGAACCTGGAATACAAGAATTGTACTCTGCTGTGGAAAGTCCCGACAATGTTTTTACTTTTTCACGTTTTTCTGACATGGATTCCAAAGTGACGGATGTGGCAAGACATATACCATTTTATTCTGGTATGTGAGCGTTTACTTTGTGGTGTTATTAGCACTTAAATTAAAATAGGTTGAAAGGCCGTGAAACAGTTGAGTTGTTAAAAAGTTTTTGAAATAGTTTGTGGTATTACAATCAGGTAGCCTAATCATGCTCGAGCTTTCGATTTTCCTGTTATCTGAGGTTAATGGAAGTTCGCGCGAAAAAAAATCGATTGGCTGTGCCTATTTTCTTTGCTTATTTTTTTTTTCTATTTTAGTTGTTTCGTGGTGGTAATATTACATAGACAGGATTAAGATTGTAATGTACAGTATCTGTGAGTTAAAAACAGAAGCAATGATAATTTTCGTTTTGGGCTTTGGAAATGTATACTGACTCGACGGCTCGCTCTCGTCATTTAAGAGGAAATGATTGAATCATTTTGGGGAAGTTCTCCGCGGAAAGATTACGTCGCTGAAACATACGAAAAAAAATACTATCGCTAAATCAGAAAGATGTTTATTTTCTTAAGGTGACCTATATCTATTAAATAACAACTTAACAACATACTTTGTAAACTTTTATGAAGCTGCGAACTGTAAGAAATTGATTGGAAGCCACTTTAAAAAGCCTACGTACATTAAGAAGTCTAATGAACTACACTAAAATACTGTTTATCGCGATTGCATCTTGCTTAGAGAAAAAAAAAATACAGATCGATGAAGTATACATTCAAGTAAAGGTTACACCTTTGTCGCACCTTTGTTAACTATCTGGCCTATTTCCCACACGTAAATCCGCCTAGAGTTTCTTCAATGGCGTACTTCATGAACAGTGTAGCGTTGAAATGACCCGAGTAAGCATTATTATTTGAACCAATCGGTTTTTTCGAAAGATACTATTTTTTTTGCTGTTATATAAAATTTATTATCAAATTAATAAACGACGTAAATGGGTGAATAAGAAAAAATAAAGGAAGTGTGTAGACAATGGCAGTCTTTGTGACTAGAGATATCTCAGGAATGTCTGAGGTCTCCAAACTAATGCTTTCTGAACGTTGCTCGAAAATACCTCCACACGCCTGCCTGTTCCGCTTGTACTAAAAGCAAGTGGCAGTTTTTAGCAGCCCTCACTGTTATTCTGAAGGCTCTCCGCGAATAAATCGTGATGTCAAATGTTGTGAGTTACGTTTTATTTCTGCAAGGTAAGATACTGCGTTTTGTTTCCATATTTACGTATTCATTTCACTAAAATATCTTATGCTGTGTTTGTTTTATTGTATTATAATTTTGGTTCATAAGACAAGAAATATAAAATCGAGTACCGTCCAGGCAATGGAAACGTTCATTATTCAATTTGTTGACAGTGTTAATTTAAAAGGTTTGTCATGCTGTGTTGATTGCAATCACCTAGGTTTGTTACAAAGATAATTACTTGACCAATAACAATTTTCGTTTGGCACTATGGTGGGTNCTTAGAGAAAAAAAAAATACAGATCGATGAAGTATACATTCAAGTAAAGGTTACACCTTTGTCGCACCTTTGTTAACTATCTGGCCTATTTCCCACACGTAAATCCGCCTAGAGTTTCTTCAATGGCGTACTTCATGAACAGTGTAGCGTTGAAATGACCCGAGTAAGCATTATTATTTGAACCAATCGGTTTTTTCGAAAGATACTATTTTTTTTGCTGTTATATAAAATTTATTATCAAATTAATAAACGACGTAAATGGGTGAATAAGAAAAAATAAAGGAAGTGTGTAGACAATGGCAGTCTTTGTGACTAGAGATATCTCAGGAATGTCTGAGGTCTCCAAACTAATGCTTTCTGAACGTTGCTCGAAAATACCTCCACACGCCTGCCTGTTCCGCTTGTACTAAAAGCAAGTGGCAGTTTTTAGCAGCCCTCACTGTTATTCTGAAGGCTCTCCGCGAATAAATCGTGATGTCAAATGTTGTGAGTTACGTTTTATTTCTGCAAGGTAAGATACTGCGTTTTGTTTCCATATTTACGTATTCATTTCACTAAAATATCTTATGCTGTGTTTGTTTTATTGTATTATAATTTTGGTTCATAAGACAAGAAATATAAAATCGAGTACCGTCCAAGCAATGGAAACGTTCATTATTCAATTTGTTGACAGTGTTAATTTAAAAGGTTTGTCATGCTGTGTTGATTGCAATCACCTAGGTTTGTTACAAAGATAATTACTTGACCAATAACAATTTTCGTTTGGCACTATGGTGGGTAACTAGGGTGGTAATTTCTCTATGCGTGTATCACGAAATATCTGATACCTAACAGACTGGTCTCATTCTAGAAGGAAAGTGCACATTTTTTTCTTCATTAGTGGGTGTCCATCTTAGTTATAATGTAATATTAAGGAGGCTCGAAAACAGATTACACAAGCGCAAACTGTGCGGGAACTAAGACTTTAACTTTAATTTAACGCAATTGTACATTTCGCTATATGTGGGCTCATGCTCCTGTGAAAGATTGTAAGATATTTGACATAAGAATAAGTCCTTAAACAAAAGATACCGTTAAATTAACGCAAACTGCAGTGATCTACGTCTAAATTTAAAGTTTTGAATTAGCCCGAAAATGTGGCAGAGGTCGTTAAAGAATTTAAGGGTTAAGGGGCGGGAAATCTACTGACAGAAAGCATCGTTACTTAATGGCTGTGTGCAGATTTGATATACCCATTAAAAGGGTATGCCCTCCCTTCAGGGGTTCATTGCTAGGACTAGGAGTGTTTACAACATTGAACTTTATATTGCCGGGAAAAGAGGCACATTAAATAAACATCTTAGTATGTGGGAAAAGTTAATCAATATAATCTGATCTCATTAACAATTAAGGTGGCTGAACACAGTTTTGAGGGCGATCAGCGGTAACTCGCGTGACGGCGCGTGTTTTAAATTAGACAAACAAACATGGCGGCGAAAAAAGCAGTGGTACACAGAAGACAATTTCTCAAAATCTGCTCATTAAAATTTTGTGATATTTGGCAGAATTTTTACTTTTATCGTACTTTCAATAATAAGAACTTTAAAATGGAAGTTCAACAGACGAATTTTGCGACACATTTAATAATTACAGTACAATCATGTTATTGATTATCTTAAAACCGTCTGTTAAAATTTGGTCAAATAAGTTTCAGATGGTAATGATTAATTATAGTAAGCTGTGTGCTAGGAACATCTAATGAAGGAATTTTATGTAAATTGAGCAAAAGTGAAATTTTAAGGTTGTATTCAATCGTTCATGTTGCCATGGAAACTACAAAAGCGTCACATTTTACCTGTCTTTCTCAAACTCATTAATAATTCATAAAGAAAATTCTAATGAAATTAATGTTTAATGAGTGTTTGGATATCAGATGAAAAACTGCTCATTTTTGCATCCTTAATTTCTCCTTCAAAAATGATTTTGTTTGAGAAGAAATATCAAACATTCGACACAGTGTTTCATCACCAGATGAAACACCTCGAAGTTCGTCAAAAATACTCCGCTGCGCGTCGTATTTTCAACTCTCTTCTCGGTGTTTCATCTGGTGATGAAACACTGCGTCTCATGTTTGATATATTACGTCAAAATCTTTCATCAGTATATTTTTTTCTTGCCAAGTTTCAGCTTGTGAGCTGCAACCTTTCTCTTGCCATGATATGGCAAATGACAAATACTCACAAACTGCCAAAACTGTATTCAGCCACCTTAAATATTGTACATAAATATTAAGATAAGTACTTTCTATCAACTTAGATGTTGACTGCTGTACTAGTTTTGTTTTTTGTTTGTTTGTTTTTCCTTTTAAGTTTACTCTGTAAAATGAAAACTTCAAACAAAAATTCAAAAATTAATAAACTACAAAAAAGAAATATACCCATTAAAAAAGAGAGAAATATAAGAGCGACTGACAAAAACGCAATGGACTTTTCTTATTAAATGTTATATATCAAAGGAAATACGACGAAAGGTACAACCTCTTGCCGGGACCGACAAACCGTTATAAAAAGCCCACGTTAATTTTTCACATTTTTTTCTTTCCCTAGCAATCCTCGCTCCTTTTGGCTTCGCGGTTGATGTTGTTTACCTTGTCGACTCATCTGATCCAGTCACGCCTGAAAATTTCAACGGACAAAAGAGTTTTGTGAAGAAGTTGGGCCGTTACCTTGACCTAAATCCGTTCGGCTCCAGGGGCGCTGTCATCTCGTATGGCTCAACGTCGACTGTGGTCTCAAAATTTGGTGACACAACGACATTACAAGCATTTATTAGTAAAGTAAACAACGCTTCAAAAGTAGGTGGCCAACGACGGATGGACCGCGCTATCAAAGCTGCTCTTAGTGTCTTTAACGACTCCCGACCAGCGATTCCTAAAGTGGTTATTCTTCTAACCACAGGAGGGCAACCGGCAGGAGTGCCCGCGGGAATTATAGACGCGGTGTTTGAACAGCTTTATGATCAGGGAGCCCGGTTGTATGCAGTGACAATCAATGCACCAACAGTGTCTTTGCCGTTACACAGTTCTGACGGGTCAGACTGGTTCCCAGTGACATCCTATAGAGACTTGCCTACCCAAGTGCTGCCACTAGCGAGACATGTAGCTATAGATACAGGTTTGGTGCTCCTCGAGAAATCGTTCTTCATTGGGATTACAACAAGCCTGAGATAACAGCCGACATTTTGCGATGCCATCACTAGTTTCCCCAGGAAATTACGTCTGAGCAAAGACTACAGAAATTCCATACTGATGACGTGCCACTATTCAGATCTGGGTTGTACTTCTGATTAGTTGTGCCGCGAGAGAAATTCGCTTCATCCCTTTGGAGACACCACCCATATCTACATAGTGACGGTTTATTAGTAGGGAGAGGTCATTTCGAAAGGAAATCACTGATTGAGTCGCGAAATTTCCACTGTTTTCTCAGGCTAGTTGTAATCCAAAAACGATTGATTTCAGGCTACATTACACCTCTTTTCATCCGCACCATTCAGCCAGCAGAAAGAAGATGAAATGGGCCCCATTTCACTCTGTTTTATTCTATCGTACGAAAGGGTTACATTACAGAAACGCGCCCATTAACGTATTAAGGAATTGGTAACGAGTAACTTTTAATCTCAACCTTTCACAAAAGGTGCTCGCATTTTTCTCCTTACATTGATATCGAGCGAGTGTTTTTGAAGGTGTTCCAAGTCGTCTGCAGGTCCAAGCGGAAGCTGTGCGAAGGTGTTCTATTGCAGGGAGGACGTTCATCAAACCAGTTGCTTAATAAGCACTGCATTTGTTTCTCTAGGGCACGTTTAACAATTAACTAGTTCTCTTTTATTGTAGATTAACTTTTCGAGCCAATTGCATAATCTTTAGCGACGATTGCTATAGAGAAGAAATAGTAGCTGTTAAGATCACAGATACTTGGAATATTGAAAACGACAGATGTAAAACGCCGTTAGACCGAAATAAGCCTTTGAAAATTGGGATAGCATGTTTTCATTTCGAAGTTCTCCGTCCGTGGTTTTACTGTACTAGACCTCAATCGTGGAAAGTCTGATTTAGACCGAACAAGCTATTGGTGACTAAAAACCTTAGTTACCCCGGAATCGAAGCATCATTTAGAGCTTACAGTTTATGTATTTGTTCAATTATCTGTTTTGTTACGTTGCAGCTGCCCTTGGCCCTGATGATTTTGTGGCAGACGTAATTTTTATCCTCGATTCCTCGTCAAGCGTCACACCAGATGAGTTTGAAAAGGCCAAAGAATTCGTGAAGTTAATTGCAAGATACCTCAACATTGCACCAGGAAAGTCTCGCGGCTCGGTTATCATTTTTAGCTCCACTGCTACTCCTGTCTTGCCCTTTGATGGATACACGACCATGCCTGAGTACAATGCAGCAGTCGATAGGGTGTCTCAATTAAGTGGCACCAGAAGGATTGACCTAGCCTACCGCGCTGCTGCCAGTTTGTTTCAGGGCGCCAGACCAACAGTTCGTAAGGTATTTGCTACCATATTCAGATTTTAATCAATACTATATTTCTCTCTTTTTGTTAGGCATGAACATCGTCATGGACATAAATGAATTGAGTAGAAAAACAAGAAAAAATCAAACAAACAAATAACAAAGCTGCTTAATTAATGTATCCACCCATTTAGCCGAAAAATATGCCCCTAGTATTGCAAAACTCATTTGCAGCCAGGCATGGTAAATGGCCGAAAACCGATTTTAAAAAAAGCGTTGGTGAAAATTGCCTTTTTGCCTCTACTCAACAGTGGTTGCCAAAGGGTTAGGCAACTGTGATAGTTACATGTATGCCAGAGTTGATTTCATACATTGAGGGGCAACTGCGAAAACACTCGTTTAATCTTTCGTTTTTCTTTGTTTTGTTTTTGTTATTGTGTTTTAAAGATTGCCATTTTACTTACTGGCGGAAGACAAACACCAGATGGGGGCTCATTACAAGAAGCTATACGGCCGATTAATAACCTCAACGTCACCAGCTACATCGTACCAGTAGGCACACAAACGGATGTTCCTGTCGCAAGATCAGATGATGTAATGCCTGTCACATCGTTTAATGATCTTCCAAAAAATGCCCAGCGCATTGCCAGAAGCATAGCCACTCCAAGAGGTACATTGTATAAAACTTGGGTAGAGTAATTAAAAAGATAATCAAGGGTGGTCTCTAAAAATATTTTAGATTCTCTTAGTATATGATGATCAAAATAATCGTGCAGACTCGAGAGGCCTTTAAAAATAGAAGAAGTGGAGAAAACAATGAAAATAGATGTTATGTAGATTAGCCGATGTCCGTAATTGAGAGACCGGAAGTTAAAACGCGCTTTTCAACATAATCTGTAGAGTAATGCAGGTGGGGTTATAGCTTACCTCCAAGAAATCGGAGCAGCCTAAATTTCGTGGTTTGCAACTTTCTGCCTTTTTCGTTCTGGCTTTTTTCTTCCATGCCTTAGCTCAACGCTTAATATCTCCAGCCAATCAAAAGCTGAAACGTGAGCCAATAGGCCCTTAGGTAGCAACGGAAAAAGTCGCTGGATAATGCGTGCGCATTGCCCTTAAAATCTCAGTACATGTATCTCGCATTATTTTGTCATTAACCAGGTCATGTGACTGCGAATTCAACGGGGCAGTGGATGTCTATATTCTCATCCGATGTCAACTAACCAATTCCCAAGTTCGCTTTTCTTTACTTGAACCAAATTTTGCTCCTTATTGGGTCTCGTAGTTCATAATAGGCGGAAAGAAGTTTTTTGAACCCAGACATTTATCCAAACAAATTTTCACGTTCTAGTTTGTCCGAGATTAAAAGTACGTCACAAAAGTTGTCTAGAACCAGATATAGCTAGATAACTGTTTTCATTTTTACCTAGGGGATTAATAATTTTTCTCTTATTAACAGAACTGCCCACTTCGACCGCTGAATTAACCACAACGCCTTTACCTACAACACCAGGTAATTTTACATGTACATATAGCTTGTTGCGACTGGCCGATCACAATTTTTAGCCGACATTCTGTTCGAAATTCCACTGACTTTAATTATGTAATTAAAATTCACAAACTTTGCACACATTAAAGCTAATACCGCCGAGTCGGATCACTGCCTAAATTGCTTTTGATGTAATTTCGTGAATTCTGTGAAAGTCCAGTTGCCTTTATGTTTGGTGTGTAGTTGTACGTTATCGAGTCCTAAACCCTGAAACAGATCCGTTAGATGTTGAAAAATAGACTGCGAAAACCGTGGACGAAGATCCTGCTGGTTGTAGACGTGGGAGCTCAAGAAAAGGAACTAATCAGCTAAACTGTTAAGACCAAAAAAAAACACCAACATTAGATGGCTAACCCTTCTTGCTTTAAGTAGCACGCCGGAGGGGGGGCGGGGGGGGGGGGGGGGGGGGGGGGGGGGGGGGGGGGGGT